TTTTCAATATTTGCTTAATTATGATTGCACTCCTCGTAACAAAGCGGAAGCAAATGGAGCCTTTTTGAGTGTAGAAGCTGATAATCATAAATTAGTATTACGTTGACTAATTAATATGATTAATTAGTTGTTAAATCATGTGCATTATATTATATTACGGGCATACATATGAATATGCCATTATATGGATCCCTCCTAGCAATTGAAAAAAGGGACAGGAAAACATCATGCTTACATTAATGATCATTATATTGATAGAGCAAACCGTTTTTTCATTGTTCCTTTTACCGCTTTAAATATATTTTTTAAGATAGCGATTCAAACACATTTTTAAATTTTTTTATTTTTAAAACTTGTTCTGAAAAAACACAGTATATTATTATTTGAAGAACACGAAAATAGATAGTAGAATCAAACAAGCCCTTAATTTTCAAAAAGTATACTTATTTTATCTAACATATATATCAAGGTGATCATGTGTAAAAGATTTTAGATTAGAGTGATAAAAGCCATACAAAACAACTCAATAAAATATGTAGAAAATTTATGAATAAAATAAAACAATAAATATTAAACTTAGAACAATCACTGATCTTTTTCTTGACTTTTTTTTTTTTAATTGGTTGTACACTTTATGTGAACGCATGCATGCCCATCAATTATTAAAGAATCAAAACTATCTTACATTCGTAAAGAGACCAAATAAAAGTATTCAAGCCCATATTGATTATGATTTATGAATAATTGAATATCAATAGGACAATAAACAACCCCACGTTGCATGCGTGAAAGTACGCTGACGGCTGGCTGACCCACTTTAATGGCTCTATAAGAAGTGTGTAATTTGACTAATTATTAACAACAAATGCATGGCCTAAATAATAAGAAGAAGCTGTGCTAATTATGAGTACTCCAATTTAAACTTTAACTGCGAGTCTGTATATTAAACATTTGAGATAATTTTATCGTTTTTGTAGTCCTTTCCAACCTGCAGCTAACTTGAATATGCCTATATATAATTTGATGATTTTTTTTTTAAATGCCATGGAAAATTTACATGCATGCATGTATATAGATAGAAACTAAAAGCACGACAGGAAAATTTTAGCAAAATATGTATATAATTCCAGCCCCTCTCGTTGAGAAAATGTTAATTAGAATCGAGAAGGTTTCTTTAATTAATAAAAAGGGATAAAATAAGAACCTAACTAACACTAACAACACAGGGGGCACATAGTCATATAAATGATACTACCTTTAGTCCTGAATATAAGAGTTAGTTAACTAATCTGAGTAGACTAAAAAACTAATTAAGTTAGTTATTTGTAATAAATGTATGTTCTCTTTCTTAAAATATCTTTACTAATTAAGTACTACCTCCACTTCTAATTTTAAGAGCTAGTTGACTATTTTGAGGAGATTAAGAAAATAAGTTAAGTTAGTTATTTATAATAAATAAGTATTATCCTTTCTAAAATATATCGATTATAATTATTATTATTGTAAGAACTATCTTAAAAAAAATAAATAAATATGAGAAACAAAGTATAGTACATCCTTATATTTATCATCAAAATAAAAGTAAAATAAACTCTCATATTAATTAAGAACCGGAGGTAGCATTTTGTTTATGGTCAACGGGAAAAAAAAAATGCTGGTATGACATGGCAAAGAAACGCCCAGCCTGTGAATTAATAATAATATTCGGTCAGAGAAGGAAATTTTCATGCAACTTCTGTGGAAATTTCTTAATGACCAGAAAACACATAATTACTTAATAATAATCATATTAATATTCAATGGACAGAGAAGATAATTAATGACTAAAAATCACTGCTAAGAGGGCTACATGCCAATGAATAATGATATTTAGTTTATGGTCAACGAAAATACCGCTGGGATGAGATGGCAAAAGCTCACCACATGACCTGATTAGTGCGTAAATAATAATGTCTCGTCGGTGAACGAAATTTTTAATTTTCATTCAGTCTTTTTTTTGTTTTTCTACCAGCAATTTTCATTCAGTCTTAACGAAGTACTACCATATATATCCACATTCAATAGATTGTGGACAATATTGATAGAATAATAATGATAATTCTTTGATTACTTATTTTATTGCTATGTGATATATTGGAATGCTCATGAAATATGCCTAAAATAATTATAATATGTTTTTATTTTCATTTTGTTCCAGCCATTAAATGGGTTCTAAAGGAAAGAAGGGATGCGAAATAAAAGGGAAGAAATTGTCGTGAATGTTACAAATACTGAAAAGTATAAAGGGACGCGACGCATTAATACTGTGCACAAAATTAAAAGTACTGAATTTTTTATTTCAACTAATTGAATGTCACGTTAAGTTTTTAAAATTTACATCAAGGCAGTCATTCCTCCTTTTTTTTTTTTTTCTTGGGGTGGGGATTGGGGGTGTTGGGGTCATGATGAAGATGGCGGGGAAATCAAATGATAAAAGCTTTGATTGAGACCCACGAAGATGAAAAGAAGTAATTGTCACATACTGCCACGTCATACTCTATCTCCTCCGCCACGTGCCTCCTTATCATGCCAATCTCCCTTTTTATTTCTTCATAGATGTCCTTAAATATCAACTCTCGCAATATCGCTTTTATTGTTTGATCCGGTGTGATGAAATTTTATCTAATTATTTGGTTCTCTATGCTATTCTTATCTCAATTTAATTTCTCGCCCGCAAATATTTTTTTTCCATTTAATTACCTTGGACTAATAAGATTTCGTTACCAACAAAGTTTTTTCATGTTAATCTCTCGTCAATGATGTTAATGATGAATTCACATGTTGTACAATGATGAGTTGATGACGTCCAAGCAATGATCTGTCCAGATTTTTTTTTTGTCATTATATTCTTTAGTTTTTATAAACAATAAATTAACATAGAGTCTTTATTTCTTTTGCGAAACATAAAAGGCATTCTTGATATATATCAGTTTGACGAGAAATCAAACAGTATTAGTAGATTTTTTTTTAAAAAAAATACTTCGCTTGTTCTGAAAAACAATCAAAATTAATAAAAGTCATGAGAAATAAATTAAAAATAACACACACCACACATATAAATCAGGCTGAGATATTTATGCGATTTTTAAAGCGAAGTATGGAAGCAGGTAATGTCCACCTCCTTTATTTATTTATTTATTTATTTTAATGGCCAACACTTACACGTAGTTGTTTGACCATTAGCGCACAAATGAATGACTTGTGCATTTTATACAGCCACGCACCGGCCACGATTCATGAATTAAAGTGGGGCGAGGGGAGTTCATATGAACAGTTTTTATTTTATATATGATAAATTAATAAATAAATGTCACCATTCATGTTCTTTATAAAATCAAAATAATACTCATTCGGTCTTTAATATAAAACCTAATTATTGAGTTGATTTTTGTCTTAAATATAAGACCTATTTATCATATCTATCAGTTTTTCATAAATTATCTTTATGGATACTTTCTCAACCATAATTAAGTAGAAAAGGGAGAAAAGATATTAAGGAACATGATTATGATATTTTAAAAAAAACATTATATTTCTTACAATCAACTAACTTACCTAACTTTCTTAATCTAATCAAATTAGTTAAATATGTCTTATATTAAGAACTAGAATAATAATAAATATAGATGCGGCTGGTTGAAACTTGAAAGCTCATTTGGATGGCGGTACAAAATATGAGGACATAGTTTGAAAATTGGGCTCCCATAAAAAAAATAAATGAAGGAAGGAAGGAAGGAAGGAAGGAAGGAAGGAGGCGCACATTATATTTACAAGTTTTTCCCCCTTAAAATATAGGTATCCTTTTATTAGAAGTAATTTTATTTAAGACACTATCGAGTACTAAATGTGAATACATTTTTTAACAGAAATTTAAAGTTTAGTTTGTCACGTCGTGAGGAACTAGCTCTTTTTGTTAAACCCAATCCTATTTGTTATTTGTAAGTCAGTGGAAGCCAATATGAATGTGACCATGCATATTCATGACCCTTTCACACCATTAACCAAAAACAAAAGAAAAATAGACACAAAAAAAAAAATCATGCAGCAAGTATGGGAATATAAGGAGGACCGCCAATTGCAGCACAAGATGCTCAAGGATGACGTCCCTCTTCATTATAGAGAACCCAACACTTCAAACTCTTCGGCCACTTGTTCATGAGGACTGATCGACGCTTCTTCGATGAAGAATCCGTTGCTGCAAACCAGGCCCATTTCGGCCCAGTTTTTAAGAGGCCTTCATAATCATGTATCGGGCCCAAACGAAATAAAAGGAAAAGAGAGGGGAGGGGCTTGAAAACTGAAAACCACTTGGCGTGCTTGGCTGTTATTCAATTTAGTTTCCATTTTATCATGAATATCATTTTAAAAAAAATATTTTATTCTTTTTTCGCTGGGATTGAACTTGTACCCTTTCTCTTAAGGGAACGATTTTTCATGCTGCTTTGGCATCTCACCACTGGACATTGCTTTCATTTGATTATGACTAATAAAAAAAAATGAAAAAGCATCAGAGCTGCTCTCACAAAAGATTTTGAATTTTTTTTTTTATGCGAACAGATTTTGAAATTATTCTATATGCATTCACACACACCTTCAAAGGATACAACAATTCTAAAGAAAGCACTGATATTTCTAGGGTGAAGACGACAAAAGGCAGGGTTTGATATATCCATCGATAATCAATTTTTTTTTTAAAAAAAAAACTTTATAACTGTCCGGCGATTCACCAGGGCGAAGTGCTACGACACTGATAACATCTATCCACATTAATATGATTTTTCTCACAGCTAATCCCACTATTAAGCACAACAATCCGTACACAACTTGCTCTCTGTTAAAATAAGTGAATAGATATTGGATAATGAAAAGAAATCAGCTGCCTGCCTAAGACTTTGAATTCAAAGCTATGCTGAACTTGGAGAACAAGGATCTCAAATCCCACATGAGCAATGACATCATCTTTGTTAATGCACAACAACTCAAGCTTGTCAATCTCGCACTCTATAAATACTCCCCCCCAAAACCTCTCTCACATACACACAGGCACTTACAGAAACAGATAATTTAATAAATCATTTTATAGTTTATCTTCATATTCTGTTCACAACGCGAATGGCTCATCATCAGGAGCAGGACAATGTAGTTTTGTTGGATTTTTGGCCAAGCTCTTATGCAATGAGGGTGAAGATTGCTTTGGCCGTGAAGGGCCTTGCATATGAATGCAAGCAGGAAGACCTGCAGGCCAAAAGCTCTATGCTTCTGGAGAAGAATCCAGTTCACAAAATGATCCCAGTTATGATTCACAATGGAAATCCCATCTGTGAGTCCTTGAATATTGTTCAGTACATTGATGAGACCTGGAACCATGAGCCACTCCTTCTTCCCTCTGATCCTTATCAGAGATCCCAAGTCAGGTTTTGGGGTGATTACATAGACAATAATGTAAGTATATTTGTTTACCTGTACAGTGTACCCCCACTTTGCTACATTAGGACATTACACTTCCACTATGTTTCGAAATATTTCAGCATTTAACCTTTGCATCAATAGAGTTAGTTAAGTGAAACGGTCCAACATAAACTATGAAACGGACCATAGCGTCCTCATACTACTAAAAGGCACCAAAACAGGATGCCAAATAATTCATCTTGTTTTTACTCCAAGAGTCGTTGCATATTTTACATGATGGACATTATTAACTATATATGAGGTGTGTTAGAATGGAAACAAAACTATAGTTTTAAAAGTATTTTTATAGTGTATGAAATAAATATATAAATAAAATTACTTCGATTTATAAAAAAAATATTCTTAGAAAGTACTTTTGACAATAGCCAAATACCCCTGTGATCTTTTATATAGTCCTGGGTTCAATGTGTCTTTCGCACCTCTCACAGACAAACAAACAAAGCACACACAAAGCATGTGTAATCAACAGGTGAATTTTGACTGATGCAGGTATACAGAATAGGAAAGAAAGTATGGACAATGAAAGGGAAAGAACAAGAAGAAGGGAAAAAAGAGTTCATAGAGTGCCTCAAGAGGCTTGAAGGACAGCTTGGGGAGAAGGCTTATTTTGGAGGGGAGAAGCTAGGGTATGTGGATGTCGCTCTAGTTCCATTCACCAGCTGGTTCTATACCTACGAGACATTTGGGAATTTAAGCATAGAAGGAGAGTGTCCAAAGCTCGTGGCTTGGGCCAAGAGGTGCATGGAAAGCCAGAGTGTGGCTAAATCCCTGCCTCACCCTCACAAAGTCCATGAATTTGCCATTCAATTTAAGAAGAGAAATGCGTTGGAATAAGGAGGAAAGAAGGCATGCTTTGTACTCAAAGGATAGTCATTGAACCAGTATTTTTTATCCATTACTACTAGTGTCCGTCCGCCAAAATAAACAATGCGATCGTGCGAACAGTCATTAATATCTGTGTTTCATTTTTTCGCTGTTTGTTTGTTATGCTGCTGTTTTTGGTCAAGTACTTCATGCATTTTGTATTCATGGAGCTTGGAACAATAAAGGTGCCTTGATCTGTGACACAAATTTTTCCATTCTCAATCCCATCTGTATCGACCCTTTCTATTTATGAGATCTTGTTTTTAAATCGAAAAACAAATCTTTCAATTCGTTGTCCGATGATGAGTAACAAGAAGTCAAGAAACATCCACGCTATTGAAAACATTTTGAGATTCTAAATATGCAGACTTAACCCTGCAAAGGAAAATAAGAGAAGCCCGCTCTTTGGATTGCCTTTACAATGAAAGTAATTTCCAGAAAAGCTATATTCAAACAAAACACACATGACTTTCGCAATCAATTCATTCAAAGTTCATTTACGAAATCATCCAGGAAGAAATTAACCCCTTTCCATGAACCCTGCACGCTTCACAATGTGATTATAATCGTAGAGAACGAAGAATTCAAAAATTGCGGAATGTGGGTCGCAACCAGGCCCTCAAATCAGGGATCAGAGAGAGCAGACATGTGGACCCAAGACAATTCAATTTCTGTGCACACTACCATGCTTCCTTCATTGCTTATAATCCAGAGCATCGGCTTATTGTGCACAGATTCAACACGCATGTCCATCAGAAAAATTTTTCCCCCCAGAGACAAACCATAACAAGAAAAGGATGTTTCTCAAATCAGAGAGGGTCAGAATAATAAACTCGTGACCATAAGACTGGAAGAAGAGACGCGAAGAGAGAACGAAAATCTTAGAAGGAGAAAGATAGAGGAGGCGATAATGTATACGGCTGCATACTAGTGCTGTGGCGCTCCTCATTTATAAGAGGGGCTTGCCGTTAGGGTTTTCCTGCTACCTTGGCGAGGGAAATCTGTTTAGGTGCTGCTAATGGGCTTTGAATATGGGTGGTCTTGAAACAGTCTGGCCCAAAACAATGACGATGGTTGCCTTTAAGAACTGGCCAATCTTACAAAAACAAATAATGCCTCTTCTCTTGGGGAAAAACATAAAGAAGGTGGAGATTCGGTAGATAATAAATTTAAGGAGCTCTTATTTCTACTTTATGGGCTTACTGATTCCAAAAATAAAAACGCATCTTGCCAAGGCGCCATCTAAATTTTTAATTTGAGAAAGATTTAGCATGTCAATTTTTACGGACCCTAGAACATAACACCTATTAAAGTGTTTTTTTTTTTGGGCGTAAACAACTGCTCGTATCAGACTGTAGCAAATTGATTAGGTCAGAGCATCAGACTCTAGAATGATCCTTCGGAAACCCAAGTCCCACGCAAACTGAAGGCCCTTCCAATCAGCGCATTGCCCAGCATCAAAAGCATTGCAAGACCCAGTAAAATAAGCAAAGCCTCGTTGTAATATGTTCGACCAAAAGGACTTGTCTTTGTGCGTCTCGGAAAAGAAAGTCCCCAGCGGGACTGTATCATTGATGCTCTGGACGAGTGAATCACGGAACACCCAACCCAACCCTACCCTGCCCACTTCGATTTCTTTCATCCAATTGATGGCTCGCAAACCTTCCTTTTAAAAGTGGAGATCAACAATTTTGTTAGGTAGCCCAAAAAATGTTCAGTATTCGGCTTCGATTTCATTCATCAAGCTAATATCCCTTTGAGGGATTGAAAATACGCTCTTTTCTTTTTAATTATCTGAATAGGGACGAATTTGACTTTGACAAACCTAATTTCAATCTAAAGGACATCAGGAGAGTGATTCTAGCCTTGTAGAAAACAGGTCATTGATGCGTGCCTGCCACGATACCACCCGATCGAGGTGAGCGTTTCAGGGGAAATTGTGATCACTGGGATATATACGTGGCCGGAAGTTTGTGTTTTAAAGTTTGTCAGAAATTAATAAATATTATCACAATATATAGAACATCACTTTGACAAGCACCTCAGCCTTATCAGATATTGATTGTTGATTTCGGTCTAGATTTTTTTTTATGTTTATTTATTTAAATAATTATTTTAATATGTATAGAATCTAAAATAGACATACTCTCTTAACTATTATTTTTTTTAAAAAATAATTAATTAAATATTTTAAATCTGGATCATTTAAATTAGATATATATAATTCAAATATAATAAATTTAAAGGAGTTTAGAGTACTTATTAAGTTATTAGCACTGAAACCGGTTGTGATGTTTTTAAGAAATCAGCCGCGTAGTTGGAAGTTGGAAACTTTCATTTTACAAAAAACACTTGCCCATTTATTAACCGTGCCGTGCGTATTAATGTCGCTGGATCGTAATTGCCTTTTTTTCTGTGTTTTCGGTGGCTCAAATCGGGGAAACCAAGGTACCAGACCCTTCTTTATTACCGTGGGGCCCTCAAGGACTGACTAGAATAGAAGCCCTCTGCGATGCTGAACGTGATGCCCTCCATGATGCTTCTGACTCATCATTTATGAGGAATAGGACTGCCCCCCTTTTCAGTTACAATATTTCAGGATGTGGCCAACTAATATCCAGATTTGTGTCTTGAAATGTGATCGGGACAGGGATTTTAGAGTTCATCATCTGGTGTGGTAAAAGCGAAGATTTCATAAGGCCATTGGAAGGAAGTGCAGACTTATTCCAAAATCCATGCATCTCTTGAGCACCATGATTTCAATATGGGATGCTAGATTTACAATGACACATTCAGCCACATAAATTCATCTTCCGCCACTCCCAGGCCCCATATAATAACATTTCTTAAAACCCATGCACCATTCCACAATATATATATAGCAAGTCCAAACTGAATAAAATACACTAAGGAAAAAAAAAATCAACGGGATGGATCACATGTGTATGATTCAGCTAGAACTCTAGAAGGACCTTGGCTTGGCAACAATGGTGGAATGCTTCAATATGTGCAAACTAAACTGGCCTCCTTTCTCAGTGGTGTCAAGCTTGGACTGTCCGGGAGGGGGCAAAAGCTCAAAGTTCTGAACCAAACGTCCCAGAGTAATTCCAAGAATTGGCAACGCCAGTATAATTCCAGGGCAGCTTCTCCTGCCAACACCAAAAGGAAGGTACCTGAAGTCGTTGCCATTAGCCTCGACCTTAGCTTCCTCCTCAAGGAATCTCTCGGGTCGGAACTGCTCCGGGTTCTTCCAGTGAGCAGGGTTGTTGGCGAGCCACCAGGCATTGACGAGGATCTTGCTCTCGGCCGGGATGTCGTAGCCGCCGAGCTTGGCGTCGTGGAGGTTCATGTGGGGCACCAGGAGTGGGATGGCCATTCGCAGGCGAAGGGTCTCCTTGATCACGGCCTGTAGGTACGGGAGCTTCTGGGTGTCGGGCTCGGTCACCTGGTGGCCGGGTCCCAGTACGGTGTCGATCTCATCGCGGAGCTTCTTTTGAATCTCTGGGTGGTTCACCAGCTCGGCAATACCCCACTCAATTGACCAAAGGGTTGTCTCGATTGCTGTTATGAAACAAAAATATTGATGAGTCCCAGGGTCGTTTTTTTTTGTTACAAACAGGAAGTAACAAATATAAAAATCTGAATTATTTAAATATCAGATGCTGGCAAGCGAAAGAAAATTTTTATGAGTTCAATTTAAAAAATAAAAAAGTAATTAAAAAATTTTAATCTTATTTTAATTTTTTAAATCTTTTTAACATTTTCTTTCTGTTTCCTGGGAAACGGACCCGGAAGTACCCCGTGCATATTTAGGGGTACCAAAGATACCTGTCAAATCGCAATTTGGTAAAAGTAACAACTTTTATAGAATCGTTCGCCCAAAAGAAAAAAAAAAGGGATAGTTGGCCCAAAAAACAATTAATAGCATCGGCGGGTGGGGAAAGGTGGGTGGGCCCAGTTGATGGTTGCTAATTGCTATCATGCCATCGTGGAGACCATGTCATTCACCTAACTCTGCAAGTTGCCTTTTACATCCAAACCGCCCTGACACCACTTTTATGATTTGCATCTTATATTCTGCTTCTTCTTTTTTTTAATAAAAGATAAACATTGAGATTAAAATTAAAAAATACCTTACAGGAATTAAAAACTGTTTGAAACATGTCAAAAATACTTTTCAGAAATATTTTTTAATAAATCGAGATAAATTTTTTTATATATTTATTTTGTATACGATAAAAACACTAATAAAATCATAATTTTATTTCTATCCAAACACACTCTTAATATGGGTTTGTAACCTCCCAATTAAGAAAATAAAAAAATGGGTATAATGTCACAGCCCATTTATTCACCGTTATATCAGGTATTCTCGTAAATGCATAATAATAACAGTAATAATTATTTATCCTGTAATTAACTATATTACTGGATACTTAAACAATTACTCGACACTACGGTAACACGAGTATGAAAGTAGAATTGATTTAAGGCGTCTTAAACGGCCAATTATGGTGAAAATCCGACAGACGTTCCGAACCGGGAACTGTGACACCCGGTTGACATATAGTTAGACAAAAATGTCCTTATCTTAAGGGCCTACAGCCCTACAAGCAGATTAAGGCAAAGAGTGAAAACAAAAAGGAAAAAAGAAAGAAAATCTTACCGGCAACGTTAATGTTCTCGACAATGTACAGGACATTGTCCTCGTTGATCTCCCCCTTTTTCTGGGCGTCCAAGATGTGGTCAATTGCACATTTTAGTTCCCCATGGCTCGGACTCCTGGTGCTTGCCAGTTTCCTGTTACCAGCCATTTGTTCGTTCTTTAGTACTTACATCCAGAAAAACCTTATGGACCAGGACAACAAATTAAGCATATTCCAGCTCATCATCGTTCCAGCAACATTCGTAAAAGCACCTCTCTTAACTGTTTTTGGCACAGTTTCCCGTTTTCCAATGCACAGACCCAAACAAAACTTTCCATGCCTTTTCGGTCTGATATACTCTAATAAGCAGGACAAATTTTTGTCTGGGTCTAAAGTTTTTATTTATTTGACTCTCCTCCCAAAAAATACTTGACATTTCTAAATAAATATCTTGAGATTTTTATTTAAAAAAGGTTAAAATGAGATCATACGAAAAGGAAAACAGTCTGCGCGTGAACGAGGGAAAAATAAAGAACGGCAATAGTATAAAAAAAAAAAAAAAAAGAAACGGCAAGAAAGGAGGGAAAAGAAGGACGGACTTACTTTCTCTCGTCAACGAAGTAGTCTTTGAAGAGTTTCAACCTCGTCTCTTTAACCTCCTTGCAGATTCTCAGGTATCCTCGCAAGAAAGGCCTGAGAATGGGAATAAAATCGCCATAATTGTACTCAAAGCTCTGAGCCAGACGACTCCTCTCTCCGTTCAGTGCCTTCAGCTTCTGGAAGAGGGGATCATCCTCGCTGTCGAACCTTCTATCGAACATGATTCTGTACATGTTGTTGTACATCATCAGCTGTAACCGCCTCCTCAGCACGATCCCATTGGTGGCCGACTCAGGATTCTTCTTCACGTCCTCCACCACGCTCGCCGCCTCTTTCTCCCACCCCTCCCTGTATTGCTGAACCACCTTGTTCGTGAAAAACGGCACCGTCATGATCCGCCGCATCTTCCTCCAGTGCTCCCCGTACACCGTAAAAACCATATCCTGACCTTTACCGGTGAAGATGTCGAACACCACATTCCGAGTCCTGGATCCGAACTCCACCCCCTGCGTGTGCAGCACCTCCTTCGCCAACTCCGGCGACGAAACCACCACAAGGTTTCTCTGCCCCATCCGGAGCAAGAGGACATCGCCAAACTTCTTCGCCAAATCGGTCAAATTCCGGTGGTTAAGATCATCACCGACCTGAAGCCAATTCCCGAAGACGGGGACCGGAAGGGGACCCGGCGGAAGCTTGAACTTCTTCCCTCGGAGCTTGGACACGGCAATGGCGACGACAACGGCGACGAAAAGGCCAAGCAGGGTCTTCTCCAGGAGGAGGAGATCCATGGTGGGCAGGTGAGAAAATATTGAATCGACGATGATGGAGTGTTGGAATATAATTTTTCAGAAATGGAGGTTGGTTGAAAGGTAGAGCGGATTGGGTGTTTTATAGGGGAAGGAAATAGGTGCGGGTGTGGTGGTGGAGTGGCATTCGTTAGGTGACGCTTGTGCCATGTGGAAGTGCCAAGAGTAGCGGGATGGTGACGGCGTTAGTTGACAGTGTGATTTTGTTAGGCGAGTCAGAGATATTAGGAAGGCGAGTCTGTGCATGCGTGCTTGTTTGCGAGCGCCCTCGTAGTAGGTAAGCGGGGGTTGGTGGAGGTGGATGGGAAGATAAATAATTCTAGGATTAATTAATCCGTAAGTCTTTATAGTTTTAACAAATTTTGAATTAGATCTCTATAGTTTTTTTTTATTAAGTCCTTATACTTTTTTTTTTAATTAGATCTTTGTATTTATTTTTCTTTTAATTAAGTCTTTATAATTTCACTAAATTTTTAATCAGGTCCATGTGGTTTTAATTTTTATTTATTAATTAAATATAAGCTTAATTAAATAGATTTATACTAAAATATAAAATATTAATAATTAAATTAAATTAATAATTATGTAATAAAAAGGTAATAGAATTAATTAATTCAGGAAAATTTTTTAGAATAATTAATTTTTTTGCTTAAAAAATTAAAATCATTATAATAATTCAATATCTTTAGAATATTATTGTTTATAAACTAATATTAAATAATATATACTATTTTATGTTTATATAATAATACTATTAGAATTTATAAAATAAAGAATAGAAAATTCAGGGACTTAATTAAAAATAAGGTAAACTTATAAGGACTTGATAAAAAGAAAAATAAATATAAGGACCTAATTAAAAACAGGTAAAATTATAAGGACCTGATAAAAAGAAAAAAATTATAAGGACCTGATTTAAAATTAGTTGAAACTATAAGGAGTTGTGGATTAATTATCCCATAATTCTAAGCTATAAAAATTCATAAATAGGGCTTGATGTGGGGCCTACCATAAGTTATGACTTCATCAACCACTGGGATCCTGACACGTCAACAACATAACGTAATCCTGACATTTTGTTCTCGATCACCCTTGAATCTATCTGGGTTAAGTTAACCACCGATTCAGATCTCTTGAATTTTCCATTGGGGAAGGATAATAGTGTCTTGGCCAAAAAAAAATCCACAATAATATAATCATAAAAGCAAGGGTAATATTAGCAGTTATCATATTATATGTACCATTCATAAAAAAATATATTATTTAAAAAAATAATATTATATGTGTTAATTATATAGAATAAATATGTATTTTTAAAATAAAAAATAAAAGAAAATATCCCATTGGATCATTTATTCCGTTTAAATATATCCCAGCTCAGCAAAAGTTCTAAAACAATGTTTAACCGAAGCACGACTTCCGTTCCATACATGGTCCTAAGTGAGCAGAGGAATTTACAAATACTGTTATTAAGAACTGGGGAAGATTATTAAGCAGGAGTATTTTCGTAGTTAAAATTTAATTATTTTTTAATATGCCTGTGTTCCCTTAGTCGTGGCTGGCAATAATAAGGACAAGTGTAAGGTGCCGGCCCTCATTCCAAGCGGCGCCGTCTGGCGTTTGAAAGCTCTGGAACCAATACTCCTCGCGTCTTATTATTTTGTTTTATAAGTACCTTTTGGTATGTTTTTAATCAAACCACATAAATTACTAAATTTTATTAATTTTGTCTTAAAAGTTAATATTTTTGTGAGATAATCGTATCGTGAAAATTTGAAGAACTGGGCTAAGGACGTAAGCCCCGGGTTGGCGCAAAGCTAACAAAATTGGGATATACTGTACAATGTATGGGGCAGAAGGAACGGTCAAGATGATGGAGAAACGGACCCAGACTTTGATGAGCAATAAAACAAGGTAGTCCGATTCAACAAAGCGCCTCGTCCCATCCCCCGTTCACGTGACTGGAACCCCAATTCGGCCATAACCTGGCTAACGACAATATCAATGCTACGCAGAGATAGTTATCTGTAAAAATTATCGATACAAATTCTGGTCTTTTAAATTTATCCTCATTTTAATTTTAGTCTATCAGATTTTTAATCATAATTTTTGGTCTCTCAAATTTTATTTTGTTTAAAATATTGATCCTTATAATTCAATAAAAACTTAGAACGTTTTGTTTTTTGAAAGATCAAAACCTATTATTTGAATTTTGAAGATCCAAAACCAAAATAAAGACAGATTTAAGAAACTAAAGATTATATTAGCCCTACTGTTCGTCTTCATTACGAGTTATATTGGAGGTATACTTGTCTAGTATTTCATTTTTGCCCTCGATAATAATTAATGCTGATGCTAAAGAAGAGTACAGACAATAAGAAATTGATGCGCCACTATATTAAATTAGCGTCGCCTCGTTTGTTGCCTCGTCTAAAAGGTCACGCAATATTTCAGCCCCAGGAGAAGGAAAAAAAGGCCACGCAATATCATTCCAGACGCAACACTGGTGCGTGCCGTTGCATTTGCCTTTCCTGATTAACGTCCGTATCATAAATAATGAACCATTAAAAATACTCAATGAAAGAATAGTAAAATTCGAATCATAAAAATAACTTTAAAAACTGCTACGAAAAAAGTTATAATAAATCCAGTTGCTGTTGAGAACAACAACAGACAATATGCAGCCCCAAATAACGAAGCAGACGAATTATTGTTATATTTTTTTAAAAAGGAAAAAAAAAAAGGGGGTGGGAATGTTATGTCAACGAAGGTTGTGGAGTAAGGAGTGGACAACTTGAGGAGAGTGGCAGAATAAAGAAAAAAGGACAGTGCGCGTTGTGTATGTCAACTAATCACCTTCCGCTGCTGACTATTCCTGTTCCTACTCCGGCTCCTCCCAATTCCGACGACGCCAATATATATATATATATATATAAAGAATCGTCACCATATTTGACCATTTTGAATTTTGATTTTGATCCCGCCCGCAAAGTTCATGTAACCGAAGTGATGCATTTAACTTTTGAGCCGTAATTTCCTTCACAATAAGGTCTTTAACCGAAGCAAGTTATCATATGTCCATTCATTTTCCTAATTTTGCCTTTGTTCCCTCCTTGTCCACACCCCACCATTCCATTGAAATTAAAGATTTTTTTTCTTATGTGTCATTGTTATTTTTCAGTAGCATCTTAATGTCATCCCTAATGCATCAAGTATTCTGAATCCTATTTATGGTTTAGAATGATGGATGTATCAAAAAAATGATATCAGGATGGTTGATGCATTATCAATAAAACGAGCATGTTAGATATTAGAATGTTAATTGTTATTTTATTCTTTTTTTTTTTTTGCATTAATCACCATCATTCACCTTCTTCAAGTTATTTACGGTTTATTTAGTTTTTATATATATCTTTCTGGTATACCTAATACTAATTATTTATAGTATATGATGCCTAGTCCGCTGAAAAAATAATATCAAGGTGCTAAATATAATTTTGAAAATAATAAAAGTAAGCCGTTTTTTTTTGGCATTAATCACCCTTATTTGGCTGTCGCTAAGGTAATATGTTGATATTAATCACGACAATATGTATGTTTCATTGTTGTGTCTTCACATCTTAAGTTTTATGTTTTTGTAAATGATTTGTTCCCTACAATCATTTCACTCAAAATATAGAGCTATTTGTAAGAATAGTGATAATAAAAATTAAAAAAATATAAAAAATCAAATAACATAGTTTTTAAGGTGTCAAATAAATCAGCTCCCCACCTTTGCAGTTTTGTTTCAGCCGTGTATTGTTGAAAAAAAAAATAATGAATATAATGCGTTGCTGAGATACATGAAAAACTCGTAAAAAAAGATTTTATTTAAAACATAGTATTTACTATTTTAAGAGTGAAAGCAACGTCTACGTATCGTCAATACTTCAGAGAAAGGAGATTGTGCGATAGTTATATACAGTGGACTTGACCTAATCGCATAAACACCAAACAGGCCAATAATAGTATAATCATCAATCAGAGTGTGGGAGCTTTCACGTCTAATCACTTGAAGCCGTTTTATTCTTTATTACTATTTGGATTTCAGTATTTGCCAGAATAATCCACATTAAGATTTTTCCTATCGTATTCTTATTTGTTTCAATAACTTCAATTTATTTAACATATTAGTGAGGGTTATATTTGGTAATATATCCATATATTTATGGATTATATTTCTCAAATCTCAAAAACCCTATTTTTTAAAAAAACGGAAGCAATAGTTTATTCCGCATTTGACGATGTCAAAGTCTGACCCAACTATCGCGTGACATTGAGAATGAATTGCCCCGTCACTTCATATATTTGAATGTTTCAAAATTCATTTTTTAATTGAGTTTTAGAACGGATAATCATAAAGTGGTCTGCCAACCCCAAGATAACTTAATGGTCACCCTTTTTTTTTGGCCGAGTAATAACCACCAAAGTTTTCCCACAAAAACATGCGGTCTGACTTCCTCAAATGAAAGTATATTCAGTCAATGTTGACCTTAGTTGTGATGTAAATATAAAATATAAATTCGCAATGATTTGTATCACTCGCACAAATTCCACAAATAATATTAAGAGTAAAATAGGCCAACCTCTCTTGTATTTTGTCTTAATTATACAGACTTCCTTTCTATTTTGAAAACATACACTTAGATCTAAACTGTTAACTTCATTAAAAATGTTTCAAAAAAATTTTATTTCAAATTTATATTGAAATACTTTCTATCTGCTAAATTACCCTTCATAATACTAAATCCCAAAATCTTAGTTAAAACTATATCAAAGAATTTAAGATTTTGTCCTTTACCTTAATTTTATTTTTTTTATTTTTGATAATTGTTGTTTGTTTAATGTTTTCATGGTATTGGGCCAAAAAATTAAGTAATTTAGTTAATGCAAACATAGATTTAAATAATTTATACAAGTTTCCAAACTCACATAATTTATACTATGTGATAAGGAAATAAGCATTCAAAATATTTTCTAGCCATTTAAAAAAAAATCTTAAGTTTCAATATTTCATG